ATGCTAAATTGTTATTCAGATAATTTTAATATGTTAAGATTTGTTATGAGGACTTATTTCACTTTTTGAGAAAACATTCAATTTGAGAAGTACTAAGTAACAGGTCACTAATGAAAGATATCTGATATCATATTTTACCACCTGGTCCTCTATTGCTCCCAGCAGTTTCTATGTTAAAAAAAATACATTAAGATTTTTCTTTAGTAGATGACTGGTAAGATTTAATTATTTATGTTGTTAAAACAAGAATAGATACATTCTATATTGTTTTTTTATTGTCCATTTATATTTACTTTTAAAGTTTGTATGGAATGGTTGTTATGCCTGTAAATAAAATACATATTTTAATACTACCAATATTTTAGGAATTTTAAAAGATTAATTTAACTATTAGATTTTCAGTTGATTCCATTAGCACAAAGACAACAATATGTTAAGTTCCTAAATTGATTTATATATGTATTACCCAGATATGTAAATGTTATATTTACCTGAAAATGTACCTTAAAAAAACTGATTTCCTGTTATTTTAAGTCCTATGCTTATAATTTTAGAAGGTATTCTTGACATGTGTCTCTTATGTCCCTCTGTTGGTCAGTGCACTCCCACAAGGGAAGTGCTGCTCAGCCAGAAGCCTGGCAAGTGCAGCAGTGGTGTGAGTACTAAGGATGTCCTGTGGAGGGTGGGCCTACGTGGTCAGTCGGACATCCCCTGAGGACTCCTGGACTGTGAAAGGGTGCAGGCCTGACTGAGGGGACCCCCTGCTCCCAGTGCAAGAATTTCATGAATAATTACCCTAGATGTAAACGGACTAAGTTCACCAATAAAAAGGTACAGAGTAACAGATTGGATAAAACAAAACAAAACAAAACAGAACAAAACACCACACCATATGCTGCCTTTGGAAAACACATCTAAGCTGAAAAAAACTAAGTCTTAAAGTCAAAGGGTAGAAAATGATTCTACAAGCAAATGGCATCCACAGAAAAGCATGTGTAGCCATACTCATATCTCATAAAACAGATTTCAAAATAACAAATATAGCAAGAAACAAAGATGGGTATTTTGTAATGATATATTAATACTTAATATATATACAACCAATCATAGAGCACCTATATGTATAAAGCAACTACTCACAGAACTAAAGAGATAATCAGACAAAAACACAGTCATAATTGGGAATCTACACACCCCATTGACAGCTCTAGATAGACCATCCAAATAGAAAATCAATAAAGAAATATTGGACTTAAATGACACATTGGTCCAACTGGACATAATTGACACTTACAGAGCCTTTCATCCCAGAACATCGGATGATGCATTCTTCTCCAGTGCACATGGAACACTCTCAAGATTAGATCATATATTGGGTCACTAAACTAGTCTCAACAAATTTAAGAAGATAGAAATCAAAACAAACATATTCTCAAAACACAATGCTTTAACATTAAAAATCAATGGCAAAAAGGAAGTAAAAAATCCAAAAATATGTGAAGACTATAGAACATGCTACTAAAAAACGGCTTGGATCAAAGAATAAATAAAAGGTGAGATCAAAATAGATTCTTGACTTAAAAAAATACCTATTTAAAAGGGGAAAATCACTCTCCTAGCAACTTAAAAGGGCCAGTGAATGATATATGAAAAACATCCACAGTCATCATTTTAGAGGTGATTTTTCATTTTTGACTAGTTCTTAATACCTTCAAGCTAAAATTTCTCTGCTTAGATGCTCCTCTTGAGAGAGTGAATGTTTGTCTACCTATGTGACATAAGTAATTTTAGCTGTTTTGAAACATAGCTTACTTGAGACTAAGCTCTTGCTCAATTTGACTGGAGTCCCTATTGGTTTTTCCATTAATTAAAGGGTAAATTTATTGACAATATTCTTGCCATCATGGCCACATTAATATAGTACAGATTGATAATATTGGTTCACAAAAACATACAGGTTTCAAATATACAAGTCAATAAAACATCATGTGCACACTGCATCTGCACCCATTGCCCCAAATTAAGTTTCTTTCTGTCCTCATTTGCTCGCCCTTTGCCCAACTCTACCTACTCCCCACCCCATGACTATCACCACACTATTTTATGTGTCTATGTATTATATAAAGAGGGAATATTCTAATTGACCCTCATGTTGTTGCAAAGATGGTGGCAGCCACAGCCAATAAGGGAGGGAATGTGCTAATTGACTGCTCTACTCTGAAAGATGGCAGTGCCCACAACCAATAAGGAGGGAATATGCTAATTGACTGCCCCGCCAACAAAGATCACGGTACTCACAACCACAATATGATGGCACCTAGTCCCCTCAGCCCCACCAGGGCAGCAGGCAATCAGCAAGGCCAGGCCCATAGGCAGGTCCTGCCTCTCTGTGCTCCTGCCTCCTGAGTCCCCCAGTCACCTCAGCCCCCCAGGTGCCCAGGGCCGACCAGAGGTGTAGACAAGTCTCAGATGGTGGCTACCCAGCCACCCAGGGCTGCTCAAAGCTAACCATGGCCATCCAAGGCTTGTGCTGCCAGCAGTGGCAAAAGTAAAGGTGTGATAGGGTGTCGCCTTCCCCTGATCGCCTCCTGCCACTGAGGGCTCTTGGAATGTGATAGGGGGCAGGCTGGGGTGAGGGACCCCCTCTATATATAATAGAGGCCCGGTGCATGAATTCATGCACAGGTGGGGTTCCTCTACCTGACTGGCGATCGGACCGATCAGGGCCATTTTGTCCAATCTCAATCAGGCCAGTGGGCAGGGAGGAACTGTGGGAGGGCTTCAGGGCTTGTCTGGCCCTGTTTCACCCAGTCCCAATTGGCTAGACCCCAGCAGCAAGCTAACCTACTGGTCAGAGCATCTGCCCCCTGGTGGTCAGTAAGCATCATAGCAACTGGTCAGTTGATCACTCGATTGGACACTTAGCATATTAGGCATATGTTTGTGTGTGTGTGTGTGTGTGTGTGTGTGTGTGTGTGTGTGTGTGCTTCTTGCTTAATCTCTTCGCTTATTTCACCTAGCTCCCCGAATCCATTCCCTCTGACAGCTGTCAGTCTGGTCTCTGTATCTGAGTCTCCTTTTATTTTGTTTGTTTATTTTGTTCATTAGAGTCCACATATAACTGAAATCATATGGTATCGTCTTTCTTTTCCTTGCTTATTTCACTTAGCATAGTATCTCCAGGTCTATCCATACTGATACTCCAATAACTTCTATTAAAAACATGGTACAGTATGGTGTAAAAGTACTTTTGCAGCTGTGAGTATGTGAAACACAGAGTTTATTCTTGTAGTATTATTTATTAGTTATTGTATTAGTTTCCATATGGACAAATATTAACCTACTTTTGCCCCAACCCTGTAATGAAAAGCTATTAAGACATGTAGGCATTGTGATAAAATAGTCATGTGACCTTAAACTCTAAATCTCAGTTTTCTCCTTTTTACAGTGAGAAAGTTGGATAATATATCTCAGCTCTTATTTTGCGATATGTAATACATCTGAGGATTTATTTTTTCATCCTAGCTATTGTGTCTCTCTATGGACTAACAATGCAGCTCACTTGAGTGTAGTCTTTACAGCTGAGTAGAGTCTACATCAAAGAGAAGAAACACTCTCTGGGTAGTTTCCTTTCTGCCTTATCTAAGTGTTAGGAAATCTGGCATATAATTTATATATAAAATTTTATTTTTTAAATATATTTTTATTGATTTCAGAGAGGAAAGGAGAAGTAGAGATAGAAACATCAATGATGAGAGAGAATCATTGATTGGCTGTCTCCTGCATGCCCCCTACTGGGGATCAAGCCTACAACCCAGGCATGTGCCCTTTACTAGAATCGAACCTGGGATCCTTCAATCCACAGGCCAATGCTCTATCCATGGACCCAAACCAGCTAGGCTATATATAACATTTTAATAAAAATAGGATTATGGCCTGGAAACATTTGTTTGGGCTTTGCAGATTGTGTGTCTATGGCAGTTTCTATTTTAATGATGTGACTAGTTATACATATAAATATTGATATATCGCTGACTAATTAAAAGGGTATAGTGAAATACTATTCAAGAGAAGTTGGAGTTTCACATTTATTTGCATCTACCTCATGAGTCACATTGCGGTGAGAGTCTTGAGACACTTTGTTGTTTATATTTTCCTTGTACTTGGATGAAAGAAGTTGAAGCATATATTTTATATGCTTTTTAAAAATTAAATCTTTATTGTTGAAAGTATTACATATGACCCTCTTTTCTCCATTGCCCTCCCCCTCTTTCCCACCCAAGCCTCCACTACACTATTGTCCCAGAAATCTATGGTGTTTTTATACACCAATAATGAACTATCAGAAAGGAAAACTAAACAAATAACCCAATTTACTATTGCAACAAAAATTTAAGATACTTAGGAATAAATTTAACCAAGGAGGCAAAAGACCTATATTCAGAAAAATACAGGATGCTCAAAAAAAGGGATAGAAGAAGATATACGCAAGTGGAAGAATATACTGTGTACATGGATTGGTAAAATCAACATCATTGAAATGGCCTTATTAGCAAAAAATATATATATAGATTCAATACAATCCCTATAAAAATACCAACAGCTTATTTCGCAGACCTAGAACAAATATTCCAAAAATTTATATCGAATAAAAAAAGACCCTGAATAGCCACAGAAATCTTGAGAAAGAACAAAGTTGGAGGGATCATAGTACCAGATATCAAGTTATACTACAAAATCACTGTACTCAAAGCAGCCTTGTACTGGCACAAGAACAGGTATATGCTTTTATTTACATGAAATTATATAATGGGGCTTGTGGTAGTGGTAAATCTCTATGTTTTAAAAAACAGGGAAATGAGAATACCAGTAGCCCATAAAACTCTATGCTACATTGAAGGAGTTGTGTATAAATTATTTCTGGTATGTTCCCTGACTCTAAGCTTGTCATAACATGTTACAACTGGATATGAATATTATTTGGATTTTTTTTTTTACAGGATGAAGGAGTTAAAGAAATTCCTATTATTCATCATGTTAAGGAAGGATATGAGAAAGCAGACCCTGCACAGTTTGAGTTGCTCAAGGTTCTTGGACAGGGGTCCTTTGGAAAGGTAATGAATGCTGTTTTCCACATTTGCTTCTCTTCTAAACATTCACCAAAAACTGTACACATAGCTAGAAATCTATTAACTGTGCCTTTTCTAGATTTGTCAAAGGATATAGACAAAGATAACTTCCTAATTTTACTAACTTTATTTCTGTTGTACTTTTAGTTCTGTTTATTTATACTTCTCTATATAATCATGATTGTCAAATGCCCGGGGCTCATTCACTTTTCTAAGGCAAGATTCATCGTGGTATTTATTAGCTGCCTAAATCAAGGTAGATTGATTTTTCTAAAAAAAAAAAAAAAAAAAAAAAGTTGAAGTTTTCCTGTTTACATGCTAACATGATCACAACTTGCTCTCTACTGCTAATTTAATCTATATTCCTTAGCCCTATCATAGAAGTCAGAATGTATGTATCAATTCATGTATAAATGCATGAATTCATCTATCATCTGCTAAAGCAGTATGTGTGTAAAATATAGAAGGGGTAGATAGTGAGGGATATGTGAATTATGTCAAATTTCTTTCTTTCAAGAATCATAATTTTAAGAGAGAAAGCAAATTTGAGAAAGATTATCTGTAAAATTCATTACTAAAATTGTTTATGGAATACTCTGTGGAATATGATTTTTGGAAAATAAATATGTAGGTCTGGTTCCTGACTTTTATGCACCTAGCATCTAATACATGAAAATCATTGCATCAATCAGTAACTGCCTTTAGGAAAACAACAACAACAATTTAAGGGAGAAAGATAATGAGAAACTACTAATTTCAAAGTGTCTGAGATTTAATTTCAAAGAAGAAAAGTAAAGCCATTGAGCAGTAGTGATTTATCATACTCTGAAACATTTTAAAAGAAAGACACTTCGGGTGCGGCCAGGCCCTGAGCAGCGGCTGCCAGGCTGGGAGCGGCCAAGCCCGGAGCAGCCGGGTCAGGTGCGGCCAGGCCCGGAGTAGCGGCTGCCAGCATGGGAGCGGCCAGGCCCGGAGCAACCAGGTCGGGTGCGGCCAGGCCCGGAGCAGCGGCTGCCAGGCTGGGAGCGGCCAGGCCCGGAGCAGCCAGGTCGGGTGCGGCCAGGCCCGGAGCAGCAGCAGCCAAGTCCAGAGCAACTAGGTCAGGAGCAGCAGTGACCAGACCCGGAGCAGCTTGTTGTGGAACGAACCAGAGCAACAGAGGCCAGTCCCTGAGCAGCCAGGCCCGGAACAGCTCGCTCCTCGCCTGCCCCTACCCCACGGCTGCCTCTCAGACATGGCTGGAAACTTTCACGGGAACTTGAGGGTCTGCTGAATCAAGTGATGAAGGCTTAGATCTGGATGTGTTGAGTTAGTATAGGGCTGGGGTGTTGATCTGTGAGTGCCTTGGGTGGGGCCTGGATGAGGCTAGTTGACCTATTGGGAAATGTATTTTGTGTGAAGTGTATCATTGGGCATGTGGAGGTATTATTGATATGAGAAAATGCTAAGTAACTGATTTACTATCTGAAAAGGGATTTACTATTGGGGAAAGGGAGGGAAGAAGAGACTGAACATAAACTGTGCACCTATGGATGAGGACAATGGGGGATGGGGAGGGGGCGGAGGGTGGGGTGGGAACCTGGTGGAGGGGGGAAGAAATGAGGAACCTTTGTAATAATATGAACAATAAAGATTGATTTAAAAAAAGAAAAAAGAAAAACATTTATTGAACATCCAGCGTGTGCCCAAGAGTTGCAAAAGCACTATTAGTGAGTATAAAATATACATCAATTGTCTTAAAATATCCCAATATCTATGTGGTATTGCTATAACATTTAAAATATAGAGAAACATTTCCAGGACACAGAAAGGACAAGTTAAGCTGGGTTGTAGTTTAGCAGTGAATTGGTACAAGAGATATGTGAAGACAAAGCAATAGGACTTAAATAGTTGTTCCGGCAAGAGTAAAACTAGGAAGGGAAGAGTTTTTAATAGAGTGTGTGTGTGTGTGTGTGTGTGTGTGTGTGTGTGTGTGTGTATCTGGGGGGGGTGTTTATAGAATTTACCTGTAGAGTAGGTATGTTCATTTTGCACAGCTTTATTTTAAATTTTTTTTAAAAAAATACAATATTCATTTAATTATTTTGCATTATATTTTTATATTAATTTTAGAAAACAGAGATAAAATTATTTCATATCCAGATTGTATAAGTGCTTAAATATCAATTTAAATAAAATCATACCAGGCAAACATTTCAAGTCATTATACTATATTGTTTTTTCATTTGATGTATATGTAAGTAGGTAAGATGATGGAATTCAAAAACTAGAGCAAGAGAACTTAGTTGAAGCCAGGAATGTATTCTGTTGTTTATAAATACATGGCATAAGGGGCCTATGTATGTTCTAGAAGTGGGACAAAAATGAATATTTAAATTTTCTGGCAGCCATTATAAAGAAGCTGATACATTTAATTATATGATTACTAGACAGTATCTTCAATATAGAAATAGATCAAACAGACCAGAGAAGTTTTCCTCATGGTCTTTGTAAAAAAGAATGCAATATAACATAATGAAATATCTTCAATAGCATCTTCACATTAAATATAGCAGCATGCTGACAAGTTCTCAATGTAATCATGAAATTCAGGAAACACTCAGCTTTGTCTGTGCAGAAACTTTGCTTTAACAAGAAGCTTTTTAAAAATCCCTAATACTAAAATACAGAATAGTGATATTTATGTAGTTTATCAATCAAAGAAATATTAAGGAAGTAGCTTATTTTTTTCTTCCTAGCATGTGAACATATTTCCTTGTCAGTATTGCATCATTTGTGTAGGCATTGTGTGGGTGTGACTTGTTATATGCTAAACCTATTTAGGAATTTGGCGAAGGCTATGAATCAGAAAAGTGTGGGAGCAATTCCAAGAAATTTTGGGTTGCAGCCTTAAGTTTTTATGCAAAATATCATTGTTAAATGCAAGAAAAGGAATTTTAGACTATACAAAGCCTTGATACACTAAATATCTTTATAGTCCATTTAATGGGGAAAAACCCTCATATAGTCATTTGTACAGTTGTGCTGTAAAGAAGTACATGTGATCATTGTGAAATATGAATATAAAATTCTGTACTAAACACACTAACCATAATGCTATTAGTTAACTTTAATGTATGGATTGAAATGTAGCATAACAAATAATTTACATTAATTATTTTAAAACACAATCAAATTATGCTCATGAATACATGTTTGTAATTTTCAGACTAAGCTTTACTTGCCAGAGCATATATATACAAAGTATACATTTTAACATCTGTGGATTATAATTTTTTTGCTTTTATGGTAGTAATGCTTTTACTATAGGACTCAAAATGAATTTTTTTTTTCTTTTCTTAAAATATATTTTATTGATTTTTCACAGAGGGGAAGAAAGGGGGATAGAGAGTAAGAAACATCGATGAGAGAGAATCATCGATCAGCTGCCTCTTGCATACCCCACACCGGGGATGTGCCCGCAACCAAGGTACATGTCCTTAGCCGGAATCAAACCTGGGACCTTTCAGTCCCCAGGCTGACGCTCTATCCACTGAGCCAAACCAGTTTGGGCCAAAATGAATTTTTGAGAATATTAAACCCTTGTCTTCTTAAGTAGTTTATTAACTATCCAAAACTAGTTTAAAAAAATACAAATTTACATCTTAAAATTCCGTGCAGTTGGTCCATTGTCTTTAATCAATGTTAAATCTGGGTGATTTTTTAATTCTCTTTATCAAATACTAATTAATTCTTAATGGAAAGTATAAAAGTCCCTATCACCAGGAGAAAAATATATTGAAGTAACTCACTTATTGGTTTTTTGGACAGTCTATAATTGGATAAGAATTTATGAAAATAAACCTCTCTGATCAGTATAGATATATATTTTGGATTTAGTAATTTGAAGCTATACCAACTTCTGTAGTTGATTATTGATGAGAGCTGAGTGACAAGATTTTTTTTTTGCTAGGAACATCACCATAAGATCTGCAACGAACAAATCAGGTGATGAAAAAAATAAGAAGTTACTTCTCTAGGCTGTGAATGATTGCTTCTATTATATGCCATATTGGGATACTAGTGAGTGTTAGAAGAGCTAAGGAAAAAAAAAACAGTTGTTTTTTACATGTGTCTTCTTGAAAGTCTAGGCTATCTTTTTCATTCTTCCTTCACTGCCTCTTTTTGTCTTCTATACTTCATTCTTTTCAACCCTACTAAAGGATGTGTTCTAGAAAAGTGGTGCTGTGTCATCTGTCTACCCCTGAGTATCTGTAATATGCCTTCAAATGTTCTCAGGGCAAAAGTTATAAAAGCATATAATTATATAATTATATTATATAAGCATAGTATGCAAATCGACAGAAAGGCCAAACAGGGGAAAGACTGTCCGGATGCCCTTCCAAACGTCCTTACAGATGACCTTCAGGATGAAGCCAGGTCTGCGAGGGCCAAGGCAGCTGGGGCTGCAAAAGCCTACTCTTGAACAAATTTTGTGCATTGGGCCTCTAGTTTTATAATAATACTGAGATATTATTTGTAAAACTTCTTCCACCTTGACACAATAAGCAGTGACACCAAACTGTCAGTATTCATTGTATTCTTCATACACTTTTAGCTTTAAAAAAACATGAAAGTTTTACTTAGGAAAGTCTTTGGTGAGGTGTTAGCAATCATTAAAATTTTCAAATATCAATCATTGAGTACACCTTTTTTAAATATTGTGTAATGAAATGAGAAGTACACGTACACCACTTAGCTGCATACCAAAAAATAATGGTTGTGTCAAGAGAGCACTTGTGTTATTTATTTTTTTTTTTTTAGCTGAACTAGCTACTTTTTAAAATGAAACAATTTTACTTGAAAGAATGATGAACAAACTATGATTCCTTAAAATCGGGCATCTGCTAGTGATTTATCAAAAATGAAATGTAGTAAGCCTTTAGTTCATGGAAAACAACTGATAAATTCTTTTGAGTTTTGAAGCAATAAATTAGAATTGTTAA